AGAGAGAGAGAGAGAGAGAGAGAGAAAGAGAGAGAGAGAGAGAGAAAGAGAGAGAGAGAGAGAGAGAGATATTCAATCAAGAGAGATAATGGAAGGAGAGAGATGCCAAGACATCATCACGTTGAAAAACTCACACTGCACGGTGAAGGGCGGGGATGTCTCCTGTAGCGGGTCGTTGGCGTTGACCTTGTTCCAGACGGTGCAGATGTACGACTGCCCGTTGTCGGCCCGCGACGCGTTCACCTGTATTGTCTTACTCGTTGGCCCCTGCCCGACATTGGAGAACTTGCCTGCGACATACTCACCCTCCACCTCTGTCCCGTCGTACTTTGTCCTTCAGTAACAAGCAAAGTCATTGAACCTTATTGTTTTATTAATTACGAGTTATATAGATGGTCGTGCATGCCTAGCATGCATGGCGGCACATTCGTTTTGGGTGTAATACGTTTACGCATACGTGTATAAGCAATACGTGTTCAGTGCGTTTTTGAGCGGCGAACATGATATCAAGAGCGTATTACCTTACTATTAAGTGTCATAAACTTCTTAATACGCTCTTGATGATATCGTAATCGTACAACATTGCTGTAAATAATCGAGGTAGTTACTGCCACTAGATGGCAGTGGCGTTTCTTGAATACCTCCAGTGTGTTAGATTGGATTACAATAGCCAGTCGTCCTAGAACCATTAACTGTGAAATTGTGCTCTATCTGTAGGTTGTTGGCACAGACTGTTATTTCAATAGCTACAACTGATGTACAGACACGCTTCTCACTATAGTCGATCATGAATGACTGTCTAACCCAAACGTGACAAAGCATTTCCTTATGTTCATATTAATTTATAGTTACTAAAAAATCTTGACAAACACATCACATGCAGTCATGCACGCACTGTCATATAAATTTACAAGTACTTATAAATTGTTGATTTGCTTTTTTACTACCATAAACCACTGCAGCAAGTTGCTTTGTGACGTGAGAAGCTTACCAGACAATATTTGGGGGTGGGCTACCATCATAGCTCTCACACCTCAGAGCAACATCAGTTCCCTCATTCACGCTGAAGGACGGCACAGCACTTATAGTTGGCTGCTTTGGTTTTCCTGAGAAAATAGGGAGAATTATATGATTAATTATTATCAATTCATTATAATACAGAACACTGCGCGGCACACGTGCGTTGCTGCGTTCATTTGCATAAATCAAACATTATTATTATTTAATCTTACTATATAGGAATAGTATAACATGCATTACTACTAGTTAGTTCATAGCACACCACAGATATGTAGAGGCACTTCAAATTAAATGCTACTTACTAAGTACTGTCACTGTAGCCGATTTCTGATAGTTATTTCCATTATATTGTGCTTGACATATGAAATCTGTATTCTCTGATTCGTAGGACGCGTCAGAGATTGTTAGATCAAACTGTCCTGTTGTTACATCCTCGGTGATCGTGTATCGAGGCACTACAATGTTGCTGACTATGATCAAACCATCAGACGCTCGAGACCAGCTACGACTGTGAAGCAAGTGAAAATAAAACATAGTAAGCGTGTGCAAACAAACATATATCCTTGTTATAGAGCTCGATACCATTAACAAGGGCCATAACTAATAACTATAGCTCTATACCAACAACATATATAGCCCTGGAAATGAAATATAGCAGGCTAGCATTTCCAGCTCATTGCCTGTGGCAGCATTCCCAGGGCTACATTATTAGTAGAGCTATATACACAATAACGCGTTCCACTAGCTGCTGAGCAGAAATCTCCACCTCACCTGTGATAGTAACGCTTTATATCCGCCAATTACGTTGGCATTTATACAATAAATTATACGGGGCCAATATAGGATGGCCATCAACACACAGGCAGAATTCTCATTTACATTTCCAGCCCAAAAAGAAAATGTTTCTAGACAAACATTTTGGTACAACATCTAAGCACGAACCAAATAAGTTGCGTATATCACGCGATACAATGCTTACAAAGTCTGTGAGAAGTCGTTGAAGAAACTGGTGCCGAACTGGCACTTTAACTGAATCTCATCGCCCATCTGTACCTCGACGTTACTCGGCTCAATGATGAACTGACCTTGAGCTGTAGCAGAAAAAAAAACAATTTTAAAATACCGCAGCTAGAGCTAGCCAAAAGACACAACATGCGGTTTAACGCGAGAAAGAGTGACAACATCGCCAGTGGCGTGAGGAACGCACCGGGTGACACCATCTGAGGGGGTGACGCCAAAATGACTGTCTATAAAAATTGTGTGCAGTGTTTCAGCAGAATTTTTTATTTTTTTTATAAAAATATCCATGTAATTAGTTATCATAACAAAAACATTTTCTATAAGATAGCTAGCCCAGCTTAGATGCTCTGTATCAATATACCTACAAGGCTAAAACTCTTTTACTTTTACGGGAATTACGATTTACGAGTAACATTTGTAGAAAAAAAAATCACCAAGGAATCTGTACGGTCTGGTACGGGAGGAGGTCCATGGGGGTGACACCACGAGTTACCGCACCGGGTGACACCAACCGTAGTGACGCCGCTGAATATCGCACCCTTTTTATTATGTCGGATATGTTCTACCGGTGCCTTCCGCATTTATCCAACACGGTGAATAGCATCACCAGTTCTCTGCAGTACGATCGAACAGAGTCAGTAGGAATAGATCGTATTATTCCAGATCATCTCAATACGTACGACGAAGTATAGTATATGCTCACTGTGTTAAGGCAGTGATATGATAAGGGTTTCATAATCACATTTAATATTGCCCTATACATAATCTTGTTTAGCAGATATGTTACCACTATTTACTATGTTAGGGGAGTGATGTGATAATTATTTCAAAACGACATTCAATATTTGCCTATTCTGATTCATAATCTAGTTTATCAACTGTTGCCATTATTTACCACTGATACCTACGTACTGAGTCACTATACTTCCTTCACTTACAGCTCCACGAAACACTCATGCATTGGGAAACCTTGATATACGTTGAATGAGATTGCATGTCTATATTGACGCTAGTCTCGCAGCTTGGTCGAGCTACACGTACTTAACCATCAGAACAAGGTAAAATATAGTTCATTCGTATTTGTACTAAATGCGGCATTCCAACCGGCTCATGAAAATTGCAAAAGGCTACGCACGCCAACCTACTGTAAATCACGCATGATTTATAATCAACCGCACTCTCCGTACTACAGCAGACAGGCGTTGGCAACCGATGAACCGATGATACACCTATAGCAGATAGACTAGGCTATGTATTCACGATGCTCGGGTTGATCACCCCAGCCAGACACACAGGTGGCGGTTTTGTTGTACGGCGTAGGCTGCAGCGTATACACAGTTCCACGGGAGTTCCCGGAAAGAGGCATCACTAGGCTGGACATTTAAATTCACCACGTGTCACCTAATATCGTTTTAATCGCACACACCCGTGTGCAAGAAAAATGCACGTATAGATTCTGGTTTCACTATAGTAGTACATAGTAGAATATAAATCAATCAACAATCGCTAGGTAAATGGTACGAATTCCATATTCTATACGTAGTAAACTCTAAGCGCACCGATACCAAACATACTCGTATCAATGTTCTCGTATCAACGATACCAAACATACTCTATCAATGTTCCAACTTCGCTAATAAATGGTAGGCTAGATTTTTCAAGGTTAAGTGTGAGAATCTGTTGGTGAGGGTGATCTCCTCGCAAGCTCCCTCCCTCGCGTAGGCCTACGTTCTCAACTTTACAGGAAAACATACTACAGTTGCTATATGGAAGCGCTGCGTAACTCCTATAGTTGCCCTCTACTCACTCATAACTCACTTTCAAATTATGGTCATTCCACAGCAAGAGAAGTGAACCTACGTGAACACTACACACCACGGGGTCATAATAAGCTCAGCTTTCTCCACTAGGGGTCAGCCGTGAACAATGCCACGCTGCCCCGCTGGCACACCGCCAGCCCGTGTTCGCGTTGCCCGACCCCCCCCCCCCCCGAAAAAAAAATTCACTCCCGAATTCTCTCAGCGCGCGGCAGCGTCGTGTCAAGAAGCTACACTAGCACCGTCCCGTCGCGCGCTTTGTTGGCGGGCGTGCCCCAGGGGCGGCTACGCTCTCGCTAGATGATCGAACTGATACGGTAACGATGACGCTGGCACCCTACCATCGAGCGCGCCGCACCGCTGCCGCTGCAGACTTCTTGGCGTGCGGCCGGAGGCCATTCTGCGCTGCCTGGCCGCGTACGGGCGAAGACGCTCGTTCGTATCGCGACTATAAACGCCCAGACGCGGGCTACTGAGCAATAAATAATCCGGCCTGTCAGTAATCTGCCCATCCACGCACTGGTTTGCCGGAGCGGCAGGGCGCGCGCGCGCGGGGTCACGAGGCAGAGGTCAACGCTAGCGAAGGTTGACGCGGCGATGATTACGATCGGTGATCGTAGCTACGACCAGTTTTCCGAGCGTCGCGATCGTTCTGACATCGTCGTCATCAAGTGCGGACGATAGGGAAAGGTTATGATAATTGTTTTACCGCGTATTTTCTTACCGGTGTTGCTCATCGGATAGCTCGCCCACAAACGCATTTTATGGCAAAAACGACGACGAGTAGCTGTAAACTAATTTGAGTACAAAGACACGTTATACGCTCATAAAGGTTCGCGTTTTCGTCTTTAATGATGCCAGATTTTGGATGAGTAAACGTGGAGTAATGTAGTAAGAAAAATTGCGAAACAACTGTCATACTCCGTCCTATCTTCCACTTACGATAGCATATATAACTGGTTGTCATTGTGTTGCACTTTTTTTCACGCAAGTCGCAGCGTCTGCAACCAGTTTCATCTGCTATTGTCTATGTTACAGTGACACTGATAACAGCGAAAACGTGCTTAAGTTGACATAAAAACTACTATTAGATCGTAACAGATTTATTCACACCAAACTGGCAAGAAGACGTCTGAAAAATCGCATACTTTCAAGTTTCAGTATCAAGCTGCTGTTGCTGCGCACGTACTTTTGATGACACAATTACACCCAATATAAAACAAACAACGCCACCTTAAGCACACAAACCGCACCACCAATTAACCGTATCTGATAAATCATGCTGCCAGCAGCGTTTCTGAAAATGGGTTGCAATTATGGGTTTGCAAGTGTCTATATTGTTCTGCGGAACCCGTTGTTTCTGCATGCTCGCGGCTGTTAGTTAATTCGGCTCTTTCCTCACTTCGCGCGAGAACAATAACTCGAACCGCCCGCAGAAAACTATGATCCAGCGCGACTCTCTTCACGTATCGTAATTAGCTCTTCTATGAAGTCTCTGATCGCAGGCTATACACAATAAGCGCGGATGAGCACGCGCGGCGCCTAATTTTTACATGTCAGAGAGAGAAAAAAAACTATGGGTAATAACGAGCCCCCGAGTTTCAACCGAGTCTGTTGTTCTCGAACGTGCAACACGCCTACGGATAAACAACGCGCTAACATAAATAGCACGCGAAAGAGTACAACTGGAAAGGCGCGCCTACGCACACACCGAGTGGTTTACTTCTTCGGCCAGTTTCACTGACATCGCCGAGGCCACGGTGAATTTGTCTCGGCGGATTGAGACAAATGTTTGCTGTCGTGTCGTCCGCGCCGATATTTGTCATTACACGTCGTTACGGGAGTGACAGGTACGGAGAAACCTGTCCCGGGGAAATCCGCCACTGGCAGCGTACACCGGTACGGATCGATCAAGAATCGTGCGACACTATGCGATAGAACAACATGGCCCCGGCAGAACTGACACGTATACCCGCATATATACACCCACGACTTATATTGCTTTATTACCCGTCGAAATACGCGCACATCGTATTTTTGACACAACCCATTCTCATGTAATATATATTACATTATATACGTCATTGTGAGAAGCACCCGTGCTTATCGAGCGCACGTATGCGCCAAAACAAGATAAAAAATATAATCATGTACTATAAATGACTGTGTTAAATTAACCACATGGGGCTTATATTATTTTTATTACACTGTCCCCGTGGAAATATTTCAATAGCCAGTATATACAGTCAATAGTTAGTATCTATCTGTGAAGCGACCGTTCCACCACATTCTAGAGCTTTAATCGGGGAAATCTTTCTATTACGGCTATACTGAATGTCGGTATGTAGGCACATTGTACGTCGACGTGTAGTTAGAAGGCGTAGCTTATGAGGCTCCGTGTGTTTTCTATTCTTAGCCAAGAGATGTCGTGAACCTTTAACTGGGACATCACACTACTCAGCTCTGGCGCTAACTATAACCAGTGGTGACCACTGACCGCTTTTAGTGAATACATCCAGGAAAAGCTCAGATCATCTCATGCAACAACATCACATCACCGTTTGTCATCGTGGCCAGCATGCTTAAGTATGCGTAAATTCACTCCACTCACTAACAAACGTACCAGTTGGTGTGAATTTACTGCGATGTGCATGAGCCGAGTGAAACAAGTACATATAACAGGCGCACACGCTATACCGGACACTGACGCGATAGTTGGGTTGTTTACGATGAAATATTTCAGGAATGTTGCGTGCATTTCTTGTAAATTTTGTCTTTGGATGTTTGCAACTGCTTACAAGCACGCGCGTCCGCTGGCCAACTGACCTGTATATAGGGAACACAGCCTCTTCTCTGCTCATCGCCGCTAACCTAAACTCGACCATGTAACGACTGTTAAAAACGTAATGAAGCTTAGTCAAAGTAAACCATTTACGCCGCATCAGTGGCGGCCCGCATGTGAGAATATTCATTCTTAATTTGTACAAGCATCGTATTGAGGAGCTTAGCGCTAAAAGATGGCGGCGGCCATTCGGCGGTGACACCAATCTGAACAGTAAAGAATGCGCGTATCTTTCTTTCCCTTCGTCGTACGCGTCCTCCGCACGAGTAAACAAAGCGGCAGCAGGTGCGCGTCTGCACTGCGTGTGCACTGACTGCCCCGTACGTGATGACAGTGTCTTCTGACGGGCAATACGTCACCTAGGCTTTCATTCCCATGCAGTGTGCGGGTATGTGTATGTGCGTGTTTCCGC